ACTGGGAGGACACCAAGGGACACTGGGGGGACACTGGAGGGAAGGACACTGGGAGGGATGCCAGGGGACAGTGGGGACACACTGTGGGGATATGAGAATACACTGGGAGGACACTGGGGGGAAACTGGGAGGGGGGGGGATGAGAAGAACCGGGGGGGTTGTGCTCAGCAAGGTGGGAAGTTGGAGCTGGTGCTCATGGAGCTGCTCTGGGGACACTGGGGGGACACTGGGGGGGGAGGGATGGTGGGAGGCACTTCAGGGGACAGTGGGGAGACACTGGGAGGATACTGGGAACACACTGGGGAGGACACTGGGGGGAAACTGGGAGGGGTGGGGATGAGCAGAACCAAAGGGTTTGTGCTCAGCGGGGTGGGAAGTTGGGGCTGGTCCTCACTGAGCTGCTGTGGGGGCACTGGGGGGACACTGGGAGGACACTAAGGGACACTGGGGACATTGGGGGGACACCAAGGGACACTGGGAGGGGTGGGATGAGGAGCACCAAGGAGTTTGTGTTGAGCAGGGTGAGAAGTTGGGGCTGGTGCTCACGGAGCTGGTGTGGGGACACTGGGGATACTGGGAGGGACACCAGGGGGCACTGGGGGGACACTGGGGAGGCTGGGGATGAGGAGCACCAAGGGGTTTGTGCCCGGCAGGACGGGAAGGAGACAGTGATGAAGGAGGTGTTCCCTGGGGACAGTGTGCACAGCCTGCTCAGCATCCTCGACGTCATCACGGTACCCGTGTCCCCAGCGCCACCCCGGGACAGATGGGGTGTCCCAGCCCCCCAGAGCTTGGTCGTGGCTGTCCCCAGGCCCCTCCAGCCCAACCACGGGGGTCCCCAGGCCCCTCCAGCCCAACCATGGATGTCCCCAAGCCCCTCCAGCCCAACCATGGATGTCCCCAGGCCCCTCCAGCCCAACCATGGATGTCCCCAAGCCCCTCCAGCCCAACCATGGATGTCCCCAGGCCCCTCCAGCCCAACCATGGATGTCCCCAAGCCCCTCCAGCCCAACCATGGATGTCCCCAGGCCCCTCCAGCCCAACCATGGATGTCCCCAAGCCCCTCCAGCCCAACCATGGATGTCCCCAGGCCCCTCCAGCCCAACCATGGATGTCCCCAAGCCCCTCCAGCCCAACCATGGATGTCCCCAGGCCCCTCCAGCCCAACCATGGATGTCCCCAAGCCCCTCCAGCCCAACCATGGATGTCCCCAGGCCCCTCCAGCCCAACCATGGATGTCCCCAAGCCCCTCCAGCCCAACCATGGATGTCCCCAGGCCCCTCCAGCCCAACCATGGATGTCCCCAAGCCCCTCCAGCCCAACCATGGATGTCCCCAGGCCCCTCCAGCCCAACCATGGATGTCCCCAAGCCCCTCCAGCCCAACCATGGATGTCCCCAGGCCCCTCCAGCCCAACCATGGATGTCCCCAAGCCCCTCCAGCCCAACCATGGATGTCCCCAGGCCCCTCCAGCCCAACCATGGATGTCCCCAAGCCCCTCCAGCCCAACCATGGATGTCCCCAGGCCCCTCCAGCCCAACCATGGATGTCCCCAAGCCCCTCCAGCCCAACCATGGATGTCCCCAGGCCCCTCCAGCCCAACCATGGATGTCCCCAAGCCCCTCCAGCCCAACCATGGATGTCCCCAGGCCCCTCCAGCCCAACCATGGATGTCCCCAAGCCCCTCCAGCCCAACCATGGATGTCCCCAGGCCCCTCCAGCCCAACCATGGATGTCCCCAAGCCCCTCCAGCCCAACCATGGATGTCCCCAGGCCCCTCCAGCCCAACCATGGATGTCCCCAAGCCCCTCCAGCCCAACCATGGATGTCCCCAGGCCCCTCCAGCCCAACCATGGATGTCCCCAAGCCCCTCCAGCCCAACCATGGATGTCCCCAGGCCCCTCCAGCCCAACCATGGATGTCCCCAAGCCCCTCCAGCCCAACCATGGATGTCCCCAGGCCCCTCCAGCCCAACCATGGATGTCCCCAAGCCCCTCCAGCCCAACCATGGATGTCCCCAGGCCCCTCCAGCCCAACCATGGATGTCCCCAAGCCCCTCCAGCCCAACCATGGATGTCCCCAGGCCCCTCCAGCCCAACCATGGATGTCCCCAAGCCCCTCCAGCCCAACCATGGATGTCCCCAGGCCCCTCCAGCCCAACCATGGATGTCCCCAAGCCCCTCCAGCCCAACCATGGATGTCCCCAGGCCCCTCCAGCCCAACCATGGATGTCCCCAAGCCCCTCCAGCCCAACCATGGATGTCCCCAGGCCCCTCCAGCCCAACCATGGATGTCCCCAAGCCCCTCCAGCCCAACCATGGATGTCCCCAGGCCCCTCCAGCCCAACCATGGATGTCCCCAAGCCCCTCCAGCCCAACCATGGATGTCCCCAGGCCCCTCCAGCCCAACCATGGATGTCCCCAAGCCCCTCCAGCCCAACCATGGATGTCCCCAGGCCCCTCCAGCCCAACCATGGATGTCCCCAAGCCCCTCCAGCCCAACCATGGATGTCCCCAGGCCCCTCCAGCCCAACCATGGATGTCCCCAAGCCCCTCCAGCCCAACCATGGATGTCCCCAGGCCCCTCCAGCCCAACCATGGATGTCCCCAAGCCCCTCCAGCCCAACCATGGATGTCCCCAGGCCCCTCCAGCCCAACCATGGATGTCCCCAAGCCCCTCCAGCCCAACCATGGATGTCCCCAGGCCCCTCCAGCCCAACCATGGATGTCCCCAAGCCCCTCCAGCCCAACCATGGATGTCCCCAGGCCCCTCCAGCCCAACCATGGATGTCCCCAAGCCCCTCCAGCCCAACCATGGATGTCCCCAGGCCCCTCCAGCCCAACCATGGATGTCCCCAAGCCCCTCCAGCCCAACCATGGATGTCCCCAGGCCCCTCCAGCCCAACCATGGATGTCCCCAAGCCCCTCCAGCCCAACCATGGATGTCCCCAGGCCCCTCCAGCCCAACCATGGATGTCCCCAAGCCCCTCCAGCCCAACCATGGATGTCCCCAGGCCCCTCCAGCCCAACCATGGATGTCCCCAAGCCCCTCCAGCCCAACCATGGATGTCCCCAGGCCCCTCCAGCCCAACCATGGATGTCCCCAAGCCCCTCCAGCCCAACCATGGATGTCCCCAGGCCCCTCCAGCCCAACCATGGATGTCCCCAAGCCCCTCCAGCCCAACCATGGATGTCCCCAGGCCCCTCCAGCCCAACCATGGATGTCCCCAAGCCCCTCCAGCCCAACCATGGATGTCCCCAGGCCCCTCCAGCCCAACCATGGATGTCCCCAAGCCCCTCCAGCCCAACCATGGATGTCCCCAGGCCCCTCCAGCCCAACCATGGATGTCCCCAAGCCCCTCCAGCCCAACCATGGATGTCCCCAGGCCCCTCCAGCCCAACCATGGATGTCCCCAAGCCCCTCCAGCCCAACCATGGATGTCCCCAGGCCCCTCCAGCCCAACCATGGATGTCCCCAAGCCCCTCCAGCCCAACCATGGATGTCCCCAGGCCCCTCCAGCCCAACCATGGATGTCCCCAAGCCCCTCCAGCCCAACCATGGATGTCCCCAGGCCCCTCCAGCCCAACCATGGATGTCCCCAAGCCCCTCCAGCCCAACCATGGATGTCCCCAGGCCCCTCCAGCCCAACCATGGATGTCCCCAAGCCCCTCCAGCCCAACCATGGATGTCCCCAGGCCCCTCCAGCCCAACCATGGATGTCCCCAAGCCCCTCCAGCCCAACCATGGATGTCCCCAGGCCCCTCCAGCCCAACCATGGATGTCCCCAAGCCCCTCCAGCCCAACCATGGATGTCCCCAGGCCCCTCCAGCCCAACCATGGATGTCCCCAAGCCCCTCCAGCCCAACCATGGATGTCCCCAGGCCCCTCCAGCCCAACCATGGATGTCCCCAAGCCCCTCCAGCCCAACCATGGATGTCCCCAGGCCCCTCCAGCCCAACCATGGATGTCCCCAAGCCCCTCCAGCCCAACCATGGATGTCCCCAGGCCCCTCCAGCCCAACCATGGATGTCCCCAAGCCCCTCCAGCCCAACCATGGATGTCCCCAGGCCCCTCCAGCCCAACCATGGATGTCCCCAAGCCCCTCCAGCCCAACCATGGATGTCCCCAGGCCCCTCCAGCCCAACCATGGATGTCCCCAAGCCCCTCCAGCCCAACCATGGATGTCCCCAGGCCCCTCCAGCCCAACCATGGATGTCCCCAAGCCCCTCCAGCCCAACCATGGATGTCCCCAGGCCCCTCCAGCCCAACCATGGATGTCCCCAAGCCCCTCCAGCCCAACCATGGATGTCCCCAGGCCCCTCCAGCCCAACCATGGATGTCCCCAAGCCCCTCCAGCCCAACCATGGATGTCCCCAGGCCCCTCCAGCCCAACCATGGATGTCCCCAAGCCCCTCCAGCCCAACCATGGATGTCCCCAGGCCCCTCCAGCCCAACCATGGATGTCCCCAAGCCCCTCCAGCCCAACCATGGATGTCCCCAGGCCCCTCCAGCCCAACCATGGATGTCCCCAAGCCCCTCCAGCCCAACCATGGATGTCCCCAGGCCCCTCCAGCCCAACCATGGATGTCCCCAAGCCCCTCCAGCCCAACCATGGATGTCCCCAGGCCCCTCCAGCCCAACCATGGATGTCCCCAAGCCCCTCCAGCCCAACCATGGATGTCCCCAGGCCCCTCCAGCCCAACCATGGATGTCCCCAAGCCCCTCCAGCCCAACCATGGATGTCCCCAGGCCCCTCCAGCCCAACCATGGATGTCCCCAAGCCCCTCCAGCCCAACCATGGATGTCCCCAGGCCCCTCCAGCCCAACCATGGATGTCCCCAAGCCCCTCCAGCCCAACCATGGATGTCCCCAGGCCCCTCCAGCCCAACCATGGATGTCCCCAAGCCCCTCCAGCCCAACCATGGATGTCCCCAGGCCCCTCCAGCCCAACCATGGATGTCCCCAAGCCCCTCCAGCCCAACCATGGATGTCCCCAGGCCCCTCCAGCCCAACCATGGATGTCCCCAAGCCCCTCCAGCCCAACCATGGATGTCCCCAGGCCCCTCCAGCCCAACCATGGATGTCCCCAAGCCCCTCCAGCCCAACCATGGATGTCCCCAGGCCCCTCCAGCCCAACCATGGATGTCCCCAAGCCCCTCCAGCCCAACCATGGATGTCCCCAGGCCCCTCCAGCCCAACCATGGATGTCCCCAAGCCCCTCCAGCCCAACCATGGATGTCCCCAGGCCCCTCCAGCCCAACCATGGATGTCCCCAAGCCCCTCCAGCCCAACCATGGATGTCCCCAGGCCCCTCCAGCCCAACCATGGATGTCCCCAAGCCCCTCCAGCCCAACCATGGATGTCCCCAGGCCCCTCCAGCCCAACCATGGATGTCCCCAAGCCCCTCCAGCCCAACCATGGATGTCCCCAGGCCCCTCCAGCCCAACCATGGATGTCCCCAGGCCCCTCCAGCCCAACCATGGATGTCCCCAGGCCCCTCCAGCCCAACCATGGATGTCCCCAAATCTTCTCAGCCCAATCACCTCCAAGTCCCACCAGCTCAGCCTTCTTGGTGTCATCACAGCACCAGCATCACCAGTGTCCCCAGCACCAACCCAGGACAGAGGAGGGTTGTCTCCAACCCCCCAGAACTTGATCACAACCATCCCCGAGCCCCTCCAGCCCACCCATGGGTGTCCCCACATCTTCTCAGCCCACCCATGGGTGTCCCCACATCTTCTCAGCCCATCCATGGACGTCCCCAGATCTCAGCCCCCCCTTGGCCACCTCCCAGCCCCACCAACTGTCCCCAAACCCATCCAACCCAACCACGACCACCCTCAAGCCCAAATAACCAAAAGCCCAGTTGCCACCATCGGGCTTCCCCAGCCTCCAGCTGCCACCATCCCCTCTCCATGGCTGGGCTGGACCTCAGGATGGGTCTCCCCCATCCTGGCAAGGCCACCAACCCTGTGACACGTCCCCAGGGCCACCAGCGGCCGTACCGGACGGGGTGTGCGCGAGGACTCCACCATCCTGCGCCTGCCCGTGGAGGCCTTCTCTGCTGTCTTTGAGAAGTACCCCGAGAGCCTGGTGAGGGTGGTGCAGGTGAGTCTGGCTCGGGGGGGACCTTGGGAGGGGGTCCCCTGTGGGGACAGGAGACCCCTGATGGCCTCTTGTCTCCTCCCCCTTGCCTCCCCCCCCCAGATCATCATGGTGCGCCTGCAGCGCGTCACCTTCCTGGCTTTGCACAACTACCTGGGCTTGACCAACGAGCTCTTCAGCCACGTGAGTTGGGGCCAAAAAACTCTGGGAACCCTCCTGTGTGTCCCCCCAACCCTCTTGGT